AAAACAAATCTGTGACATTTACAGTAAAATACCGGCAGCTGTGGTTGCCAAAACTTCACCTTAAAAAATATGGTAGCAACAATTTAGGTTTTACAGACTTAACTTAAATTCATAATAAAATACCGTATTTCATTAACTGATGTAATGTTAATAAACCAAAATATTGGAGTACTAATATCTATTTTGAAGCATTGTACTGCACTGATAACCACCAAAAACTGGTGGTGATGAGAAAGTCACATGATGAACGAAAAAGCTTATCACAAACAGCTTTTCTACGAGCTGGGGGAGGGCAATACTTATATATAGAAGGTGCACAGTGTCATTCACACAAACACTAAACCCCATCATGGTGACACACACAATACTGAAATAATGGAATAAACATTAATTTAACAACATTAGATGTAAGATTAAACCCTAGTGTACATAACTGATAAGAAAAAAAAAAGTAGGAAGAAATATGTTATTTCAACAAAAAAAAAAACATCAAATATGAAGTGTCATGCAGGGAATTCTGGGAGTGTCAATTTATGTTTTTTTCACTGTAAATTATACAATGACTTTCTTTTTCAGTTCCAAAACTGTATTTTTAACAGTATTTTACTGTAGAATCACATTAAAGTGGTCCTACTATGCTGTTTTACAAAGTCTTGATTTTGTTTTGATGGTGTACTAGAACAGGCTCTCATACTTGGTTTTTCGAAAAACACATTATTTTTCACATACTTTACATTATTACAACACCTCTGACACACATGATACTGAAATAATGCAATAAACATTAATTTAACAACATTAGATGTAAGATTAAACCCTAATGTACACATCTAATGAGAAAAAACGAAGAAGAAACATGTTATTTCAACAAAAAAAAAAACATCAAATATGAAGTGTCATGCAGGGAATTCTGGGAGTGTCAATTTATGTTTTTTTCACTGTAAATTATACAATGACTTTCTTTTTCAGTTCCAAAACTGTATTTTTAACAGTATTTTACTGTAGAATCACATTAAAGTGGTCCTACTATGCTGTTTTACAAAGTCTTGATTTTGTTTTGATGGTGTACTAGAACAGGCTCTCATACTTGGTTTTTCGAAAAACAACTTTGAGCTTTGTAACTTTGCAGATCTTTTTTATGCTCAAACAGCAACATTACAGACCAATTCAAGTTGAAAAAGTAAAAAGCATAATAGGACCCCTTTAAATGTAATTTCATTTATTCACCGAATATAGTATGGAAACTTAATGTTAACCAGTTAACAGGTTTTTACTGTAACATTTTTACAGTCTTTTATTGTTAAAATCACAATCATTTTGGTATAGCATTCTCTTTGCATATTTACATGTTTATAAGCTGTGGGTTTTATCTATTTTATTTTATTATTAGACTTTTTATTTGCCCTTTAAGTATGTTTAGACATGTACTTATTTTTTCATTATAATTAGTAGTTGCATTTTGTTTTACACAAGAATATTTGGGTCCGTTTGAAATCGCTGAATAAATTTGGCCCTTTTATGTCAGTATTTAAAAAGATGCTCTCATCTGACTCTGACTTGGCGCTGCAGTTTTTACTCCATTAAACAGCAGCTTTCATACACACTGGCCAGCATATTAGTGTTGTCACGAGAAGGCACCCGTACTTAAATAATGCACTTATCAAATTTTGGCTATCCATTTTTACAAATATGGAGATGTGTAATCTGATTTGCTTGGGCACAGACACAGGCTCATTTGGAGTGGAATGGAGCACCAGTCCGTATTTTCACTTCCTGGACCCCCGCCTGTCTGTCCGTTTTCCATAACGTCTGCAAAATCTGAATTTATGTTGCCACACACACACACACACACACACGATGCGGAAAACTCCGCATTTGAACAGTCAATAGCAAATAATTTAACTAGAAACAAAACATACTTACAGTCGCTGATTCAGAAGCGCCAGATTGTCATAGCAAAGTCAGAATTACCTCTTCTCCTAGGTTCACGAAACGGTCGTCCATAAAATGCATTGCTGTTCTGTTGTAAGTGATCTTAAAGATTTCTAAATGCATCTACTTTCGGAAGGCCAAATAAAGTGCTTTTGCTTTCGCCTAGAAACACACAGCATCTCCCTGACATGCTGCTTCAACACTAACTGCGGTTACTGAAACCACGCCTTCTTTCTTTGCATGCACATTTGGGCGCATTATGCAAATATTCCCACATAGTGACCTAGATATGTGGGGGCGTGTTAGAACGAGACGTTTTAGGGGGGAGTGGCAGAGTCTTAACTTTGATAAAGAATATCGCTTTGGTTTTGAGACTTTAGTCTTTGCAACTTCAGGGATCTTATCTATTCACGAACAGCTTGTACCACTCCAAAGAGAAAGGAAAACTTGAAATTGTATCATATGACCCCTTTAAGAGGTTAGAATAGATTTCAAGAGTGCAATTATAAACAGTGAGGCTGTAAAAGCAGGAAAAGGCATGATGATGTTTAATGTCCCCAGCAGCCTCTTATAGCCACTTGTTAGCAACAGCATTTTTTCAAGACAATTAAAAGCTTAAACAAAATCACAAAATGGGTAATACTGATTTATTTTATATCATAGAATAATATGTGAAAATATCTTGAGCTTGTGTTAACCACATACCTTACATCAGGCATTTGACCAAAAACCCATTCAAATAGAAATACAAAAACCCATACCAAAAATATATATCATCCCTCTCATATAACTTTATTTTTCCTCACATAAAGTCACAGCTTACATGTGCATATATAATATATAAAATTACATGTAAATAATTAATTTTAGGGCTATTCAAGACTCTCTCCACCTTATGTTGTAATTCTGCCATTTTTTATTTATATTTATTTATTTATTTCATTTTATTTATTTCATTCATTATTTTGATATAATTAGAAGGTAATATTGTGGTACTTTGATATATTATGTAGTTATAAAGTATATTCATGTACCAAAGTATTTACATTATAATCGAAGGTACATGTCCACAATACCATGGTAATAAATTCAGACCTAAAATGAACGTTGAGTCTTTGCACATAACATGCTGTGACAGCTATTCACACATATGTTTGAGAAATGATGAGTATGTGTATAGCGTGCATGTGTGTTTGAGGTCAGAGGGGGTGTGTGCAGCAGTGCTGACACTAGTGTGAAGCTGGCCCAGTTGGGTGAGAGGCGCTGTGATCTTCACACACCAATGCGTCTGAGATCCATGACCTATATAGCATGTTACACGCTCTGCTTGTCTCCTGTGTTCCTCTAATAGAGCAGGGCAGTGCATTACAGGTATAACACACACAAGGGACCCATATACACGGATCAGAGCCATCCCTCATGATATCATACCTGCTGAGACACTTAAGATCTGATTTAATCACAACATCTGATTTTTTTCATCTTGTATTTTTTTCTTTTGTTTTGCATTTGTATGTTTGTATGCTCTGCTTATGTTCTGAATGGAACACTAGCACACTTTACTGCATAGTGTGTAGTATACATTGTACGCTGACTGCGATTTGTTAAAAAATTGTACAGTATGTGAAACAGAATGTTGCATGCAATGATAAACAATATTATGCATATGTAAAATACAATATATAGAAAAGTCATTTTAGAGTCTGAACATGTTTTGATCATTTTTTATCATTTGATCATCTTTTGAATTCATTGTACACAGTAAGACCTGAAGCATGGAAAAGGTGAACAGAATGCATGCTGAGGTTGATACCATTTCCGGTTTAATTCATCCTGCTGGAAATGCAAGGTCAAGTTGAGCAGACTATAGTAAAATTTAGGTCTTCTGAGTATTCCATGCATAAAGAAAATTTGCATACTGTGCAAAAATAGTACAAATAGCATGCTATTCCAAGCATAGCCCTTAACACTAGTATTAATAAGTGATACGGGCCACTAGTTTCTTTGTTTTTCTTTTCCCTCATTTAAGGATTAGGCTGGAGCAGGTTATTGTAGGCTGGTGTGTGTTAGTGTTGTGTCAGGGTCAGAGGCTGCGTGAGTCATGCAGAAACCTGACACATTGCATTCCTGTGTCTCTCAGTCTGAGCTCATCACCTCACAAGCACAGCTGTAAATTACAGACCATTACTGTCAGCTATCCGGGTTTGCATTCATCTCAGTGAGTGCTGAACTGTGGCCGCAGGTAGGGCAGGTAATTGCGTTAGGGTAAGCATTCGTGCAAGCATGCAGTTGCACTCAGACACACCCTTTGGTCTGGACACACACACACACACACACACACACACACACACACACACACACACAAACACATGCAGCTACATGAACGTGAGGTCATAGTGTCTCTTTTGATTTCTTTGCATTAGCGTTACCCAGTAAAATTTCATGATTTACAGAATCACATTTTGATACCCATTAGGCTGAATTAAAAAATTCAGCATTTTCTGGTTTCTGCATTCATTTACAGACATGGCCACCCCCTTTTGTGGACACACACACACACACACACACACACACACACACACACACACACACAAACACATGCAGCTACATGAACGTGAGGTCATAGTGTCTCTTTTGATTTCTTTGCATTAGCGTTACCCAGTAAAATTTCATGATTTACAGAATCACATTTTGATACCCATTAGGCTGAATTAAAAAATTCAGCATTTTCTGGTTTCTGCATTCATTTACAGACATGGCCACAAATAATGGCACCCTTGTGCTTTTTATGTATTTTTTTCCTTTTTTAATAATCCATAATCTCTTTCAAAAAACTAATGAAATTAAAACATATTTTGGAATCCACCTATGTTTGTCTTTAGTGTGCAGAAACTTATGCCCAACTCATTCACATGCACTCTCTGTAGAGCATTTGCGGAAGTTTTCATGTGTGAGTTTCATTAACAGTCACTCAGGTACCAAATTGTGTTAGTACTTATTATTGGAATACTGTTTAAATACTTGAGTCGTCTCTAACAAAGTGTGTATATGTGTATGTGTCTCAATAGGTGGCGGTGCATGTCTACATCTGGACGGAGGAGGAGCCTGTGGTAAGATTGGCACCACCTTCGGACATGCCCCTTACAGGATGTGAGACCAGCACCCATCTATCCATCTACATACTGCACTTGAGCGGCCTGTGCCAACATTACAGACACTTCCTGAAACAACCTGATGGAGCCATTATAGAGGTGGGCATCTTCTATGCAGAATCCTAAATTAAAAAGTGACTAACTCAGAATACTTTATATAAAATATGTAGACCATCAAGCATCTTAGATTAAAAAAAAAGTTTAATTACAATACATTCTGATATTGCCTTACCTGTGAAGAATACATACATGCTGCCTTATGGTTTAGCCAAAATTATCTTTAAAGGCAACATGTTGCTGTTTACCTTGTGAAACAGCATGCCTAATGATGCCTAAAACTGCTGCCTAGGTAGGCAGCTCACAGGGTTTTGAAACAGAGCTAAAGAGTGTAAAGGAGAAAGTATTGTCACCTTCACCTCAGGCAGTCAGTGCATTTCGCTCATGATTGTATCCCTCACACCTGGACTAGGTGATAATTCTTTCTTCCTTTGGTTAATCTAGGAATCTATAACGGGATATATTCGCTAACCTGCACCCATGGCTTCACACGTTATTAAACTCAGTAGAACAGCAGGCGCAGACTGCCGTCCAGATTGCTGTCTAAATGTACCACTGATTCTGCTTGGTAACAACTGCAAGCACATGAATTAACTCCCACCCCCCCCGAGAACAACCTGGATCATCCTAACAAAATTAATATATTAGAACTTCTTTGTCAAAAACAGCAGATTTATGCTGCGTGCACGTTGACGGCTCGCTCGCAGGCAGTGAGGTCGGTTAATGGCGTCCTGAGCTGTTTTGTGACTGATGAGAGTACCACAGAATGCGCCGCATATTTATCAGTCTGAGGGGCGGCCCTGAAGAGCCACAAACACAAACACATCAGTGATGACAATAAACAACAAATGACTTGAAAAGCTGTCAAAAATTTCTAAACTTTGTCCATGTTTGGAAGACAAAAGTCTGTATACCAGCCATTCAAATGAGGTAAATCACACAAACTCATACATATATTGTAGATACAGGTTTCATATATTCACTTTTGCAGAGATTCTGTGATTTAGACCTACCATAAGTTAGCAATTGGCCCAAAAATCAGCAGAATCAGTCAGAATTATTTTTCGTCTTAGATTTTGTTTTTGAAAGGCATTCAATGTAATACATGAAGTGTATACACACAAAAGCAGTTCATTCATCACATTTATTTATTTAATAAAATTATAGTCATTTATAAACACATTAGTAGTAGTACTGGCTCAGCAGAGGGAAGTGTCAGGCCATATCTGGATGGGTGTGGATCTGGTGTGATGGGTGTGGCGGTGGGCAGGCTGACACAGGAAAGACGCTGACAGCATCAGTGTCGCCCACCCCAGGGCACAGGCAACAGCCATGCCAGCACCCAGACAACACTGCAAACCTACAACACCACCCTAACTAATTCTGAATGTGCAGTGGGTATAGAAAAGAATCAACCCCCTTTAAAACAATCACATTTTGTTGCTTTGCAGCCTGAAATGAAGACGGACACAATTTTTGTTTTATCCAGCTGTATTTACTCAGTGCAACTTATAACATCCAAGTGACAGATATAACACCAACAACAACAACAACAACAACAACAAAAACGGAATCACTGAGTTGGACAAAGGATCACCCCCTTGTGTCAGTATTTTGTTAAACCACCTTTTGCTTCAATTACAGCCTTTAGTCTGTTGGGATATGTCTCTACTAACTGCACATCTAGACTCTTCTTTGCAGAACTGCTCAAGTTCAGTTAAATTTGATGGTGACCATTTGTGGTCTGCAGTCTTCAAGTCATTCCACAGATTTTCAATGGGGTTTAAGTCTGGGCTCTGACTAGGTAGGCCATGCAAGGACATACACCTTTTTCTCCTTCAACCTCTGTGCGGTCAGTTTTGCTGTTTGCTTTGGGTCATTGTCATGTTGGAAGGTAATCCTTCTTCCCATTGACAAGTTTCTGGCAGAGGGCAGCAGGTTTTCCTCAAGTATTTGACAGTATTTTTTCCCATCAATTTTTCTTTCTATCCTGACAAGTGCTCCAGTCCCTGCTGCAGAGAAACACCCCCATAACAGGATATCACCACCTCCATGCTTTACTGTAGGAATGGTGTTATTTGGAAGGTGAGCTGTATTGGATTTCTGCCAGACAGATCATTTGGTGTTGAGGCCAAATAATTCAATTTTAGTCTCATTTGCCTCAGAATCTTCAAGATGCGTTTTGGCAAAGCTCAGTCGTGACTGCATGTGACTTTTCTTGAGGAGTGGCTTTTTTTCTTGCAATCCTCCCATACAAGACACATTTGTGGATAATTTGTGATAATGTTTTCACATGCACACAATGACCACTCTTTCTCATGAATTCCTGCGACTGCTTCAGAGTTGCTGTAGGCTTCTTGGTTGCCTCTCTGACCAGTTTCTTCCTGGCTCTTTCATCCAGTTTGGAGCGACGTCCTGATCCAGGGAGGGTCTGTGTTGTACCAAATACCTTGCACTCCTTAATAATATTCACTGTGTAATAATAATAATTCACTGTGCTTATAGGCATTGATAAAGCCTTAGATTTATTTATTTTTGTTTGTATTCATCTCCTGACTTGTGCCTGTCCACAACTTTATCCCGGAGATCTTTTCACAGTTCCTTGCAACCCGTAGTGGATTGTTATTATTTTCTATACCCACTGTATAAAATGTAACATCTAACAAATAAATACATTTTAATTGAATGTTCCGAAAATCCATATAGAAGTAGCTGAAGGTCCAGAACACAAAATGACCAGAAGATTTACAATTACAGCTGCACAGAGAAAAACATACACACATGCAGAAGCTCTCACAAAATATACTGGGGCACAGAAAAGCTCAAGCTGTTGGTCACTGGGATATGAAAAGTATATGAGCAGAAATTACTTCGGCATATAATATATTATTGTTTTGGGAAATTTGTACTTTTTACTTAAGTTAATATTTATACTGAAATGATCTGAATATTTGAATATTTACCCAATTTGAAAATGTTTTGCATGTCATCATGGCCTGTCAGGAACACTCAGTATCTAATATTTGTTTGTACATCTTGCATCTAGATGACAAGCTAAACGTTATGAGATAAAAGTTCCTTCTGTGAACTTTAATGATCTTTTGAATAGCCAATATAATCCATTTCCTTGACTACAACTACTGCTATTCACCCCCATTTTAATAAGTCGACAAAACACACAAGTCTTTGACAGTGTGTTTTCGATCAGTCTGTAAAGAACTGTGTATACGCAGCTGTCAAACAGCTACTGTATTAAAATTATCTGCTGCTGAATTTAAATAGCTTTTTTTTTAGAACACTGGGTATGACTGGAGTCATCTTCTTATCATTTATTTAGGAGTAAAATACTTTTACAAATTTGTATTGCACCACAAAGTTGATTAGATTGAAATATATTTCTGTGCACAAACCCATCACTACAGGGGATTTAGGTTTCACTGAAGAAAGCTTTGTCAGCATTCAACTGAAAAGAGTGCAGTTTAATCAGTTGCAATTCTACGGCAACTTTATGATGCTCTTGTGATGCTTCTATTAAAGTTATAGAAGCATTAAAAGCAAACATTACTTAAGCAGATGTTTACCTCTCTCTGAGTAACTACAAATTGGAGCAGATAATAGCTTAGATTTGAATGCAGCACCAACAATTTAAATTTTCCGATTGGGCCCACATTCACCTCATATGTGGAAACAAGATGGCGTTGGACATAAACGTGTGTGAATTCATTAGGGTGTGTGCTAAAACGGCAGTAGGTTTATGTGCCTGGGCGCGTCTTTCCTCTCGGGCTAGCGTTTAAGTGTTTGAGGCCTAAGAAACAGCGGCCAACTGTGCTGCATCATCTCTTGTTCCCATATGCCGTCTGCAGCATATGTGAAGCCTGCCGCCACTTCTGTAAAACTTCCATTAAAAATGCACAACTACAGCTCCAACAGCTTGAGTATTACCTCCACACAAATTATTAATTCTCGGCAAAACCGCTGATGAGCACCCAGCACGCATTAAACACACTCACTTACGCCAGCCTGTTTTTATCATGTGGCTTTTGAGGTTTCGGAGCATGCAGCGCTGTTTGTGTTTCTATGTGTCCTTTGTTTGTCCTTGAATGCAGCAAACTCTTTAAATAGATGCTGGGTGACAATCAACTGATATTGAAAGGTGCTAACAATTGACTGCTAGTGACTTTAGACTAAAAACAAAGATAATAGTTTTAAGTGACACAGTGATGCTGGTTTGTATCTACTGCATGTTAAAGAAGTCTTGAATAGTGGAGACGGGCTAGTTGTGACTCCAAGAAAATAGATTCCAGAGTAGTTTTATTTTCAAGTAAACTTCTAAATTGACTACAGAAAATCAGTTGAACATTTTCACTTTTTTATTTTTTCACTCAATGAACATGTTATGTTACATTAATAAACAACAAGTAATTTTGTATTTACATTATAGGCTTGCATTATTAGCTCCTCAGCAAACATTCCTCAGTAAAACAATTCATAAAACATAAAAAATGGAAAATATAATATAAAACATACAACCATACAAAAATGTTAAAATATTATTTTGCCCAACAGAAAGTGTAATGAATGAATTATATAAAATTACAACATTTAAAACTAATGGGAACTTCCCCTGAGCTGCAGTTTTATTTGTTTGATTGTTTTTAAGGGTTGGTTCACTCTAGAATGAAAGTTCTGTCCTAATTTGCTCTCATGTCATTCCAAACCCATACGACTTTCTTTGAAATACAAACAACATTTTTTTCCTGTCCCTTCACTAAAAAAACTCTTTAAAAAGTTCATAAAATGCTTGTAAAAAAAATCCATATAAATCAAGTGGTTTAATTCATGTCTTCTGACAAGATACAGTCGCTTTATATGATGAACAGATTTGATTGAGGCTTTTATTCATACTGTATATAAACATTGATCAAAAACATATGTAGTGTTCAAATCCAATATGGTTTGCAGAAGCTCAAGTGTGCATGCCTGAAGTGCAAGAACCAATGAGGTTTGTTCTCACGCATCAAGCAGGTATGGTTGAGCTTCCATTTACCATAATTCATGAATGATTTAAA